TTAAGGATTCAGCCAATGAGCTGAAGGTTCGTCCTGGATGACGTTAAACCATAATGTGCATTTCAAGCAGCTGGCTGCTGCCTAAATGGCGGTTTTTGGCCAAAGAACGGCATCTCCAATGTGTCCTAGGAAATCCTAGGACAGGGGGAGTGCGGAGCTGCAACTGGTATTGTAGAAAAGAGTTGGTGAAGGGAGTTGAAGGGGTCAATGAACCCGGATATTTTTGGCTCAAGAAACGTGGGCAATGCGCCCTACGGAAAAGGTGTGTTTGGTTGTGCTTTGGTCTTGCTGTTAGGTTGTTGGTTGTTCCAGGGGTAATAAGGGCTTCTGTTGGGGTTGACTGTCTTGTTCCCTGTCCTCCTTCGGTTGCCCCCCGTACCCTAAACCCTAAACCCTCTATCCTAAACCAAGCGAAAGATAAGACATTGAAACCAAGCTTGAAGAGTGAGGACAGTCGCGAGGCTGGCGCCACCCAGGTGCCTCATCCTCGTGACGGTCTGTCACTGTTGAGCAACGCAGCTTTAACAAAGGGACGACAGCATGAGGATGGCGCACCTCCACAACCCTGGGAAGCCTCATCCTCGTGACTGTCGGCACTTCTGAGGCATGCACAGACCAAAGTCATGCCAATCCGCAACTACCGCGCGATTCGCGCCACCGCGGGCGCTTTCGAACGCTTTGCGAACCCTGGAACCCCATCTCTGAAACCTTGAACCCTCCGCTACGCGGGAACAACAAAAGGAGAGAGAAAGAGAGAGAGAGAGAGAGAGAGAGAGAGACTCCAGGGTGCTGCGCACCAGAGGCCAAGGAGACCACGCCTAGGGTTTAGGGGTGCAGGCATTGAAGCTCTGCAGGGTTCTGCTTCATGGTTCCCCGATGGAACGCAACTGCTTTTGGGGTGTGTGTGTGTGTGTGCTTTTGGGCCTCGGGTTGGGGGATATGAGGCTCTTGGATTTCATTGCAGAAGTTCAGCGCAGCCAAAGCCAAAGGCACGAAGCAACCCTAAACCTAAACCCTAAACCCTACGAGCCCATACACCTCGCTGGAGAGGGAGGTGGCTTGGGGCGATTGACGACCTGTCGGATTGGCTGGTTGAAGGTTTCGGGTTAGGGTTTCGGGTTTATATAGGGTTTAAGGTTTAGGGTGCAGGGTGTAGGGTTTAGGGTTCAGGGTTTAACGTTTACGGTGCGGAGCTGACAAAGGCGTGAGGCGTCCGACACTTTTTGAAGCTCATTTGAACCCAAGGTTGTTGTTCCCCTAAGTTCTTCCTGAGTTCATACAGCAGCCACAAATTACCCTAAACCCTAAACCCTAAACCCTAAAACCCTAAAACCCTAAAACCCTAAAGCCCCAAACCCTAGGTACCAAAAAAAGCTGAGGCTCTCGGGGGCGCTTAGGGTTCTTGCAAGGGGGATCTGGGCAGTCGTGTGGGGCAGGTTGGAGCCAAAAGACTCTACAAGAGCCACCGCACTCAAAAGCGGCCTATAGGTTTAGGGTTTAGGGTTTAGGGTTTAGGGTTTAGGGTTTAGGGTTTAGGGTTTAGGGTTTAGGGTTTAGGGTTTAGGGTTTAGGGTTTTCCCAAAAAGGTGTGCTAGAATCCCTACCAAGGACTGTTAGTATAAGGGGGAACATTGGTATAAGGGGGAACATCCCAAGCTCTAGCGGCTTGAAGGTCAGGCAGTGGGCCTGCTAACTTTGGTGGGCTGACAGATGCCACGCCCGAACCTCTAACTCCCTGCACCGGTTTCGGGTTTCGGGGTTTCGGGGTTTCGGGGTTTGGGTTCGGGGTTTAGGGTTCAGGGTTGAGGGTTCAGGGTTGAGGGTTTAGGGTTAGTTCGGGCTTGGGACCTCCCCCCCCCCCCCCCCCCCAACATCTGAAACTCGGGTGCTCCAGGACGCCGGTGGGATGTCCAATTCGGGTTTTGGGCGGAATCCGGGCAGCTTCTTGTCTAGGCTTTATGGCTTTATGGCTTTATGGCTTGATGGCTTTATGGCTTTATGGCTTCATGGGTATTATAGCTAGGTTTGCTGAGGGTGCCTCAGAACCCGACCTAGAGGGTTCTTAAGGAGAGTGGGGTTCATGGCCGTGTAGGTAGGAAGTTTGGGGAGCCTGTGAACTCTCCTCCCTTAAGGACCTTATAACCAGAACCCTAAACCCGAACAAAGTTCACTCTTCCTCGCCAGTATCGAGGCCCCAACTCGCAGCCCGCCAAACATCTCTGCCTAAACCCCTCCCCCCCCCCCCCCCCCCCCCCCCCCAAAACAAAAAAAAAAAAAATAAATAATAATAATAATAATAGAAATACAGAAAACAAAGAGTGAAACCCCAAACCCTAAACCCTAACTAAACCCTGAACCCTGAACCCTAAACCTTAAACCCTAAACCTTAAACCCTAAACCCTAAACCCTAAACCTTAAACCCTCAACCTTAAACCCTAAACCCTAAACCTTAAACCCTAAACCCTAAACCCCCAAGCCTGAACCCCTGCCTTGGCGCAAATGGGTATGTGCCGCTCGGCAGCATCTTCGCTGAACCAGCGGCCGCAGTGGTGGCATTGGAGCTGCAGGCGGGGTTCAGGGTTCAGGGTTCAGGGTTCAGGGTTCAGGGTTCAGGGTTCAGGGTTTAGGGTTTAGGGTTTAGGGTTTAGGATCGAATTAGGGTCTGGGGTTTCGCAGGTTTAGGGTTTCGAAGGTTTAGCGAAGAACGTTCCCCGAAACTCGAGGCCTCTAGGGATTGGACATAAGACTTTATGTTTATCCTGACGAACTACCTATACCCACCCTAAACCCTAAACCCTAAACCCTAAACCCTAAACCCTAAACCCTAAACCCTAAAGCAGAATGTACATACAAATATGGGGGGACTCTCTCCAGCATGGTCCCTTTTGGGGTGCCCCTGAATCCTAAACCCTAAACCCTAAACCCTGAACCCTAAACCCTAAACCCTAAACCCTAAACCCTAAACCCTATAAACCCTAAACCCTAAACCCTAAACCCTAAACCCTAAACCCTAGAATTTAGTGGTACTCAAAAGGTAGCCATTAGTTTAGAGCTCACTTGGGATGTGCCCCCTTACAGAAGGGGGTACTATAATCCCGATCAAGAACTGTTCGTATACAGGGGGACATCCCAGGAGCTCACCCTAAACCCTAAACCCTAAACCCTAAACCCTAAACCCTAAACCTAAACCCTGAAGGTTTAGGGCTCTTCGAGTGGCGGCGCAGATCAGACCCAGGAGGGCACAGCTCAACATCCCAAAGAGGGAAGCAAGTGGGGGCCTATTTGCATTTAGGGTTCAGGGTTTAGGGTTTAGGGTTTAGGGTTTAGGGTTTAGTGTTTAGGGTTTAGGGTTTAGGGTTTACGTTAAAAAACCCTATTTCCTTAAGAACCCCCAACAACATGCAAAAAAATCATCGCTATAACGCTCTTCTAAGGAAGGGTGTTTTTTTTTCTTGTTGTGGGGGGGGGGGGGTTCTTCAGCAAATGGTGGTTTGAATATCTTGGGTAGTGTCACGTATCATGACCGAAACCTAAACCCGACTTAGGGTTTACGGGCCCTGGTGTTGTTTGTTGGGTTGAAGGTCTAGGTCAGGGTTTGGGACAGATTTGGGGTATATTGCAGTACTCTGGTATGGTGCTGAGGGTAGGGCGCCTGGCAGATTGAAGGGCTGCAAAGTGCCACTTTAGGGTTTAGGGTTTGGGTTTAGGGTTTAGTTAGGGTTTAGGGTTTAGGGTTTAGGGTTTCTGCAAAGGTCACCAATGTAGGCCACGAAAAAGCAACGATTGCCGTGCGCGAAGATCACTGTTGTAGTATCGTCATCATCACAGCCCGAAGAACTTTTCAGCGGGGTATGTTGTACAAAGAAGCACAAAGCGCTGTGAATACCGGTGTTTTGGGCATGGCCTTACTAGCTAGGATAGTGTTTTGGGGGGTGGTGATAGTACAAATATGCAGGGAAAATGAAGGAATACTGTGAGTAACCATTTCGGCACCGAAATTACTTAGGGCCCCCATAGTTAGACCTTTCTTGCTTCAGAGCTGGAAAAAACCCAAAGGGTTAGGGTTTAGGGTTTAGGGTTTGGGGTTTCGGGTTTTGATTTCGGGTTTAGGGTTAAATATAGGGTTCAGGGTTTAGGGTTTACAATACAGGGTATAGGGTTTAGGGTTTAGGGAATGTAAGCCGCTGCCTGCCCAGCGCGACTTACTGGCTGTGTGCTCGGCTGAACCTGGCAATGGCCGCGGTATGGTGATTTTTAGGGTTTAGGGTGTAGGGTTTAGGGTTAAGGTTTGGGTTGCTTGCGATTTTTGGAGAGGCCTCATGAAAGCTGCTGTAGAACCTCCCCACAACACCACAACTCTTCTTAAACTGAACAACTTCGACGGGCAGCCAGCTAGTTGACAAACTGAGTGTTATTCCTAATTCTGAAGTAGGCAAATCTTTGTACATGCATGAATCCGGTGTGCTTGGTTTCTGGATTTGGGGGTCCAAACCCTTAACCCGAAACCCCAAATCTCTCCTTCACTTATACATTTATATCCTTAACCCATTCGTGACAAGGGCCATTTCTTCGTGAGTAAGGGCAAGGGCAAAAATTTGGGTTTAGGGTTTAGGGTTTAGGGTTTAGGGTTTAGGGTTTAGGGTTTAGGGTTTAGGG